CAACCTACTAAATAGCAACTAATTTCATGTCGAAGATAACAAGAGGGTATAAGGTTGGAATTGATCATATATATAATATTTCAATTATATAGCTGTTATTATTATGGTCTAACATAATTTGATAGGGGCATATGATTGATAGTGTTGTGACCTTGTATGTGTTTTTTATGCACATAAATGATGTGAATTTTGATATGTGTTTGTATCCAATCATATGATTATAGTATTATGATCGTATTAACCTTTTGAAAAGAAATTAAACCTATGAAAGTAGCATTATTGCCATTGCATTTTTATAATTAGTTGATATACATTTGTATGGGCTAAATTAATCTTAGTTACTGAGTAGTTGTACTCACCCCTCTATTTAACATTTTAGCAGGACAAAGGAAAAGCACCAAAGGCTTAAGAACTTAGTTTCATACTGTAGGCCCCTCATAATTTTTGATACACGTGTAATTAATTGATATTACCAAAAAAAATGTTTGTATTTGGGAAAACATAACTTTTAGTCTCTACACTTTGCACATAATTTGTTATTGGTCCCTACACTTTACTTTCAATGTTCTAAGTCCCTATAGTTTTCTCCTTCTGCACTTTAGGTCCTTGCACTTTCAAAGGGGTGTTGATGTGGTATTAATGGTGTTAATTATATTGATGTGGACAATAACACCGTTAATTATATAGTGATGTGTCAGTTAATGGCTTATGTGTTTTTTTTTTTAGAAAAAAGAAAGAAAAGCTAATGTGTATTTTTTGAATAATTATTTAAGGCTACGAGAAAATATCATGTATCTATTTTTAGATTTGCTACAATTCTATATTTCAGAGTGCCTTTCCTGTAATTATGAGCTTTAAAGTCAAGTTTGGGGTTAGATTCGAGATGTTTTATTATTTTTTAATGTGTATAAGATGTATTATTCGGGTTTGGAATTAGGACACTTTTTTTTTCACTTTTTGATTATTAAAAAAAATACTCCAAGTCTTATTTATAAGATGTATTCTAGAAGAAAGTTTTGGTTTAAAATATAAGGCACTTTATAATAATTAAGCTACTTTTTTAAATTTTACCCTTTGTTGATTAATGTAACAGTATTTAATTATTTAAAATCAAAGTTAAAAATATAAGTACATATCATTTTTTTATGATATCAAGAGAAAAAAAAACTAAATTTTCTTAAGATGTGTGAAAAGGTTGAAAATATCTTATAATAAGGATTAGAGGGAGTGCACATAAGCCTTTCTTTCTTTCTTTTTCTAGAAAAAAATACACATCAGCGACTAATTGACATATCACCATATAATTAACGGTGTCATTGTCCACATTAGCATAATTAATGCCATTAATGCCACGTCAACACCCAGATGAAAGTATAGGGACCTAAAATGCAGGCGAAGAAAACTGTAAGGACTTAGAACACCGAAAATAAAATGTAGGGACCAATAGCAAATCATGTGCAAAGTGTAGGGATTAAAAGTCAAAATGCCTCCCCTTGTTATTTCTAAAATCAAGGGGTTGATAGTTGAATTTGTGAAATATGTGATATCTAAGTGCTATGGTCTATTACATAAGTTGTTTTGAGTTTATTGAGTGTGATCTAGGTGTTTAATTGAGTTTTTGACACTTAAAGTGAAATTTGAACACCTGGGTTATAGTTTAAAAGTGAAAATATGCTAGTTTGCATTTGGGTGTCCAATTTGTAATTAGGTCAAAGTTTGAAAATGAAACTAGTATCATTAACTTAAGTTTTGAAAGAGCTTTCTATGAATACTTAAATCTCTTCAATCACATGTCAGACGAGGATTTGGGGAGTATCGAAATTTCAATTAGAAAATATGTCATGATATCATGGGTTCTACATTTTACACTGTAGCGTAAAATGTTATATCGCAATGTAATTCCAAACTTCATTGAAGTGTACTTTGTTGTGCTTTATGGAACAACATATCTGCATTATGTTGTGGTGTAATGCGCCAAAAATACTGTTTTGGCTTTCTTGACCTTAAATTGATATATTACCTTATTTTTGATATGATATTCACGCTTCCGTATATGTTTCTACTCTGTTTTAAATTAGTTATATTTGATTTCAAAGTTTAAGTTATGAAACTTGGGATCTCAACTCTTAAAGGCTTATATTTTAGATGAAATTGTTGTTTGATTGTGAAATGGGTATTCTAATATTTGTTTTGAAACCTTTTAAATTATAGTAAACTTTTGGTTTGTCTTTTCCTTCCTATTATGGTTAATCTTTTAATAATTGGTCAAAGTCTACAACCATAGGTTGGTAATCATATGGTTTAATCCATATTACCATTAAGATTTTAGCTAAGTGCCAAGATAATAAGGCGAATGTTACACCAAACATGCTCATATATTTCCTAGTCCAAAATACTCTCTCCGTCTCAAATTATAAAGCATTTTTAGATAAAATTACACATACCAATAAAGTTAATTAAATAGACTTTACAACCTCACTTTTCAAAGACAAAAATATATACTTTAAAAAAATTCTTTATTTAATATTCTATTTGTAAAAGAAATATTAAAAAGAGAGAATACATGGCAAGGGTAATATTGAAAAAGTTTCATTAATGATTTTTTTTCAAAGTGTCTTATATTTTATGATATTAAATTTCTTTCAAAAGTGTCTTATAATTTGGCACGAAGGGAGTATAAACATCCTTTAACAAAAATTCATATATGAATAAAATCCTTATTTCCATGAAAGCATTTATTATATTCCTTTGTTACCTTTATTTCTAATTTGTTATGAGTGGGAAAAAGATCATAAAAGTTACTTTTGCTTAAAAAAAAAAGAAAAAGAAGAATCCGAGTTAATAGATATAAGTGGTACAACGGAAAAAAATTACAAGTACCAAATTTTGTATATTTGAACTAAAATCAACTAAAAAAATGTTTATATTTTGAACCAGACAGAAGGAATATAATAGACAGGTACACACACTAGATCATCACATGAATATTGTGGCTTTCAGCCCTGAATTTTGTGTAATTCATCATTATATAAATATATAATGAATATTAGGATAAGAATTGCCCAAGAGCAGCGTCCACTGTCCATGTGATTGTAGTGAACTTGTGATGGAGAAGTGGGGATCTACCGCCATCAGCTGCGTGTCTAGAGAAGCCTTCACAGTTCTGATGCACGCTTCTTGTCTTTGCATTGCATCACTCCACATCTCCTAATTAATTAGCCTTTCATTCTTTTTTTAAATTCATTTAAAAAAAACCTGTTATTTGCCCCTTCATATGGGCAAACCATGTATTTCCTATTTTTGGCACTTATTAAAATATAATAGTTACAATTTTATTCTTTTTTATAATTATTAATAATAATAAAATATTGTGTAAGAATTCAAAAGATAATTAATAAATATGTGATAAAATTAAAAAATATTAATTATTTCAACTTTATCTTATATTAAAGACATGCAATATATATATTACTCTTGTTATATATATTAAATTCAATTTTTTAAAGCTTTTATTTGCCCCTTCACATGGGAAAACCACATATACACATACATACATACATACATACATATATATATATATATATATATATAATGTTTCCCCTCTAGTTCGTTTTATAAGGTGATTTACAAAAATAAAAAATGATCTCAATCATAAGGTGTCATATAAAAATATGAAACAATGTTTCCTTGTTATTTTTTTAGTTTTAATGGAATTCTTCAAACTTGAAAAAACGTGATAACCTTGCACAAAAAAGAAGACATCGCTATCATGTTTTCATTGGTTGCAAATTTTTTTATAATACTTATATTTAATATTATATTTATATCTCCAATAAGTTAAGTTTTTTTTTCCTGAACCAATAAATTAGTTAGCGTTATTTAAAATTACACATTTTATATTTACCTTTGTTTGATAGAAAGTTTCAATTAAAAAATATTATTAATTATACTCTTAATTAAGAAATTTTTAAAAAAATTATATTAATTATATCTTGAAAGATCTAAAATGCATTATATTTTTAACATAATAATTTAAAAAAATATCTTATAATATTGAATGGATAGAGTAATATTTTAGTCCCTTTAATTAATATATATGTAACATTCAAGTTTTGCACTTCCTTAAAATTAATAACTATAATAACTTGTTGTCTTTGTGAATTCAAATGATGATAATAAACAAGGTGCAAAAATGTTGCCTTATATAAAAAACAGAAAAAAATTCGTAGTTTTTCTTATATTAAGGACTTGAGGGAGCATATATGTATGCATATTTGTGTCACCTTTCTTTATAATACGTTTTCTATGTATAGCTATAAAATATCAAGCGTTATTATGTCAGATTTGAGATATTATAGGACTCTATTGGAATGGTTCTCCCAATTTTTTTTTTTCATTTATATAAAATTGAACTGAGCCTTGTACTTAAACAGTGATCACTCTTTGCACTAGGAGGATGTTAGGAGAAGATCTAAAGTCCACTAACTCAAGGATTGTTGAGATCAATGACTTGGTGCACAGCTGCACTTTTGATTACATTGAATCAAACTGCATGTTGGATGTTGATTTGTTTGTAATTTATTTAAAACTAGGTTACTTTAAATCAAACTTTTCTATTATGATTAAATTAAACTATAATAATTTATGCTGCGTGATTAATGGCTATTTACTTTCACTTTGCCTAGATCATAAATTTTAGCACTGGAAATTTAAAAGCAAAATAATGAGGACAAATACACAAAAACATGTTGGAATTCCTTTTTTATCAAGAAAATAATCAGCATAACAATGTTATTGTTCATATCTCAACCTTTCATAATCACAAATAAAATCACGAGTTAATTGCAAAAATTATCATTGAAAAAAAAAATCGAAAGAAGGATGACTGTCAGAAGGAATCCAATCTCATATATAATCTTTAATTATATAACTGTAGAAGATCTAATTGAATTTGTCATTGCCCACCAATGCAACAAAAGATCAAATGGTTCCCCATATAATGAAGACAAGTTGGTAACTTCATCTATAAAAGGAATCAATTTCAAGCATTCATCCAAAGTACTTAACTTACATTCATAGAATACAAATTGCTCTCCTATCATTTCCTAGCTCTCAATAAAACTGTGAGACCAGTAAAAAGAAAAAAGAAGGCCAAAAATAAAACAAAACATACTAGAATACTAATGTTAATGCAACAAAAATATCAACTCTTGATTCTGACACTTCGACTGACAAATGGGTTAATTCCAGAGAACTCCCCACCATAGGGACCTGTGGGCTTCTTGACACTGCGAACCTGCCCACTGCGTCTCTTAAGAGCTTTCTTGTGCTTCTCCTGCATATGGAGATGGCACCAGGGAGAAAACGTTGATGAAGTTACTAATCATTATTATGAGGAGGATCCAAAATACTTCTTGAGAATGAGTAATCACACTTCTAACAACCTCACCGAATCTAAGATAGTTAAGTTACAAATTTTGTATAAAAATACAACAAACTTCCAATTTTACCCCTATTTAAATGAAAATATTTCAACTTTACATTACATTCTCTCTCACAATTAATAAGTTTAAATAGGAGTAATAATGAAAAAAAATATAATTAATAACCCATCAAATGCCTTACACTAAGGACCAAAGAATTATTCTAGAAGGCATCCTATAACAGAAACTGCAAGGAGTACCATCTACCATCGTGAAGAGTGATTGTTTAGTTGAAAGCTACCTTATTCCAGAATATTCACACAAGCTGAATGGTGATCTTTTCAATGGTTTTACGGTGGAAGGTACAAGAAGAATCTTCATTCAGATAAAAAGAAGCAATCGGGTAGAAATAAAATCTAAAATATCCAATTTGGCTTTTGGCAGAGCGTCAGAACTTCACTAGTATCTTTTTCAGTATGGATAAAAGTACTTTTCCCTCTCAGATGTCCAGGTTTTCGAAGATCCTAGAAATTTGAAGTTTAGCATTGTTTCAGAACTGTTGGTAAGTATATGACTAGTGGCTGATACGAGTTTCGTTAGGTTTTATTATATTTCTCTTGCACCATCTTACTATTATTTTACATATGTTCACCTTGAGAAGTACCTTACACAGAATACAGTCCTCTTTGGAGATATATCAATAATAAAACAACCCAAATATCGAATCTTTAGTGAAATTACCTTGTACTTCTTTCTTGGATTCTTTGTCAGCTTCTTCCTATATCGAGTCAATCCCTTGTTCTTCTCCATCTGCACCATTTTGGGTTTGGAGGTGTAAAAACTAAAAGTCTATAAGATTATAATTAGATTGATAAGAAGATAGATGAGGCCACAACCTCATAAGAAATCCGTCGTCTTCCACTTTCATCTAAAGTATCTGGCTCCGGCAAATAGGGTACTTCAGAGTTCCTGTACAAAAAGTAAATCGTTAAAACAGAGCAACATAGGCAACCAAGCCAACCAAAAATCATTTTGAATTCTTTAACTTGCAAATTCTTAACGCAAGCCAAATCACTGCAAAGGCCTTATTTTCAAGACAGTTAAAGAAAACTTACATGAGTATGCCCCAATTAGAAAAATTCTATATCTTTGGAAAGGATGCAGAAGAGCTAAAGCCGTTTATAATAATATGCTTATTTGCCCAACAGTCAAGATATGTTAAAAGCATGCTCGCAAATAAAAAGTGAGCATCATAATCAAGAAAAGAACAATCCATTCAAATTATCATCATCATCTGAAATTTTATTCAGGCATATGCTCTGAACAAGTGGAAAAAAGAAAAAGGATACAAGACTTCACCTCGAGTAAATCTTAGCTTTAGCAGCCAATTTTTCAGCTCGCTGTTGCTTTATTTGTTCATATAATTCATTTTCTGAGTCTTCACTTTCCCCATCCTCCTGATCAGCAGATTCAGGATCACCCATTTCTTCATCAACATCCTCAGAATTCAAACCAGCACTAGAAATTGCTCGAAGTTCAAATTTTCTCCTCCTTTCCCCAATGTCATCTCTCTTAGGTAAATCATCATCACCAGAAACCACCTTATTCAAAAAGGGACCAATCAGATATACTATTCAAAATAAAACTTGAAATGCACATAAAGGATGGAGTGAGGCAAGTTAATGCAGGTTAATCAAAAAAGCATCAAGCTGTGCACCCTGGGTTTCTTGTGATTAAGGTTAGCAAGCTGAGCAATTCTTCCAGAACCAAGACCATTAGCCAATGTAGCTGCTCTCTCAACATTCACATTGTCATCATCAAAATCATCATAAGTTTCAAGCCTGCAACATCAGTAAGTTTCTAAAAATAAGTCTTCACTCCCAATCCCAGAAATAAGAAACATGCAAAAAAAGGGGCCATAGGTTAAACTTATACCCATTTATTGGTCTGGAACGTTTTTGGGCACTATTAGTCTTTGGAGCAATGGAACTGTAGAAACCCTTCTGTTTCAATTTTTCCTCGAGGGATGCTCTGATCTTCAACATTTCGGAACTCTGCACACCAATGTGATCCTTCTGCCACATTCAACTTATCTCAGTAAAAATAATAGGCCTTTTACAGCATCAAAACTAAATCAAAATAATGAAACATGCAAAATTATGTCATATAAGTGATTTCAAATTTGAACTGAAGAAACAAAATATTACATGCAAAATTTTCTATAGTTCACCTTATGCTCGTGCTTTTGTTTTCTTTCTTCATTCACATTATTCTTAGAGGAATCCACCTTTTGCATCTTGACTACCTCATGGGACTGCATAAGTACACCAAAATGTAAAGGCTGCATAGATAATTCTTGAAAGACTTAAAAGAACTACAAACAAAAATAGTTACCACTGTTTCTTTTAGCAACACATCAGAGGCAAGAGGCAGTTCATGGCTTTCCACAAAGGAATCAGCCATTGCAGCATTTATATCACCCAAACTTAATGCCTTTTTCAAACCTTGACTTTCTTCAACAATGTCGTCAAATGTGATCGGAAGCTTTGCATCCAGTTTTTCTATCTGTTAAGTGAGTCACACATTAGAAGATTGCAAAATCTAAAGAAAACAATTTCCATCTTAAAACGGCAGAAGAGCACAGAGAATAATGTATTCAATTTATTTATTGTATGTCTCAATTTTAGTTCCATGGAAAAGGAATCATCTTCCATTGAGTATATTAAACAAAGGATTTCTAGTCATAGATGCCAATTGATCCACTTCTATGGGTGTAATAGAGAGCATATCATGGGAGAAAAGTGGTCTCTTACGAGAAGTTAGTTGGGTAACTATCCACCACTAGATCAAAATCAATGGTCAAGATTGAAGAATACCATAAATGCATGTCAATATCTATTTTCACATTGTTGATTTTCGTGCTGCACAAGACCATTGATTTGTGATCAGTGATCAAATGGTAGATAATTACCCTTCACACCTAAGATTTTACACGCGCACACAAACAAATGAATGAACATTTTCCTTACATCAATGTGGTAACTGTTTACTTACAATTCAAGAGGTTAACATTCAAACTTGCCATCTCTGTATGATTTAGAATGCCAACACATTAATCCTACATAACCTATACCAATTCGTCAAAGCACAAGCAAGGCTACCAATGTTTCTTCTATGTAATGTCACCAATTAGGATCAAATAATATCTAATTCCAGTAAATTTTAAAAAATTATTAATTGTTATTTAAAACTCTGGACATATGAAGACATATATTTTCACTGAGTATGTGAAAAGGTATCCATAATTCCATAGATCCAAATGGGAAAAGTTTCAACTCCAAGAAGTAACAACATTTGAATATGTTAATTTTGCATGCTAAATTTATCATGATAAAAAGTTTAACAACTTGAAGAAAACAATACCCGATCCAATAATTTCTTTATCTCTTCTAGGCGAGCCATCACAGGATGTTCATGCACTGGCTTCCCTTCAGATTTGATGAGAAGATAGAAAGTTATAGCTTGGCAATAGAGTAACAACAGAACCTTCTTCAACTCAAAATAACTAACTCCTTCTGTAGCAATTTTCCCATCTTTAACCTTCACAAAAGAATGAAACAAGTCAAATGTAAAATGGCCTTCATGCATGTCCAAGAAAGTAGTCTACAAAGAGACACGGATTGCACTTTAATAAGGGCCCAACAAAGAGCCCAACACTGAAAGGGGAGGAAACTTAGACAATCACAAGAAGGCCTTATATAGATAGAAAAATTTTTGATAATATCTTTGCTGAATATGTAGCCACAAACAACTTATCACTACAATAGAAAGGGAGAAAAACCTTGCTTAACAATGGCTTTATATTGCATTCAAGCTGATCATGTGCGTCATTTAGTTCTGACAACCAAAAGACCAATTCTGGATAAGACCTGAAAAGAGAATATAATCACTAATCGCTGGGTCATTAGAAAAAAAAAATATATTATCCAATAAATAATCAGCACGAAATTGTATATTCAAAACCATTAGCTACAGTTGATAACAATAAAAAAAATAAAACCAATGGCCATGCCTAGTTTGTTAAATGCTAGGCCAACAGTCCAATAAACAGGATTAACTGACTGATTTTTTTTTTTTTAAATCTGTTTTCTTCTGAATATTAACCTTAGTTTGTCAAAATGGAAACATGCAAAACTGACTTCTAGATAGAATAGTAATAGTCCACACTATTGCTGAATACAATATTAGAAATACATTTAGCATCAAGCTTCACTTTAGTGATGCCTTTTATAAAAGAAATGGAAAGTGTTTCCACTCATACAAAGAAAGAACTCATAGTAACTAATAATACATTGAAGATGACACAAATACAAGAATATTTCCATTCATATGCAATTTGACTGAGCAATGGCACTGAAGACATGTCACAAAGAATGACACCAGATATTTACACGCATTTCTACAGCTAATTTAAACCATATTTGACCAAGCAAACTGTATCTTTTTGTGTAAACTGTAAAATCATAAGGCAATGGGGGATTTTATTTCATTCATTTATGTAGTTGCTGAATTTCTCAAAAAGGATATTAATATCCACTTATTATTCACCATGTTTCCAACACGGAATTTCAACTTTTTTAGCCTTACTGAGATAAGGACAAGTGAATTTCTTTCTCCCCTTTCTCACTTTTCAAAGTACATAATTTATCTTTTTCCTTTTGGGTTGATAATACATACCCTAGACAAGAAGTTTGTTTTCCCAAGTACACTTACAATTATCAATGGTATTCATCAATGCATATATTTTAATGATTTAAATTTTGATACTGCAGGTACAATTGGGATAGCAGCTGAAGCCACAAGATAAATCCAAAAAATAATATAGTAAAATAAAGATAGAAAATTAACCTATTCAGCACATCCATTTGCTCATCTTTTGATAATGCATTCAAATCTTCAACCTTGTAAATTTTATCTGAATCTTCTAGCATCAGCAGTTCTGCCGAGTCCTTTCCTTTAAAAGATGAGTCCTGTACCATCAAAAGTTATATCTCATAAACATGGAGAGCTGACTACATTAAACACCGTAAGAAGATACCAGCAACTCTGACCTTCAAACCCACGAGATCATAGTCTTCCTCAGTATAAAATTTTGCCCTCTCTCTTTGCAACTGTTTCGCTAATTCTTCCTCTTCTTTTAGGGCCTCATCATCACTTGATTGAAGCTTCATCAAAAACAAATGCATGCTTATTCATCAAAAATCAAAAAATATTAAAAAAGCTCATGCAGAGAAGGATGACAGTACATAGCGTAACTCAAAGGATAAGTATATAGTAATAATTTATAAATTGCTCAAACCCTCACCTCAAAATGACGATTATCAGCACCATGTCGCAAATGCTTTCCAACTAGGATGGGTTTATCATCATCATCATCATCTTCTTCTTCTTCTTCATCATAATGCATTTCATCCTCACCTCCACCAAATTTTGCACGCAAATATCTGCTTTGCCTGATAACTGAAAATAATACACGAATAGTTTAGCCCAGTTACACCACTTACACATAAATTTCACTTCAAAATCTTCCCCATAGACCCTTGCATTTAGAATACTTGCAAATCTGAACAGCTCCTGTTTCCATAAACAATTATCTTAGATGAATCATGACCACAATTAAGCACATTAGCTCATGCTAAAATTATATCACTTTATAGTTATAGTGTTATACAAGACTGAAAGATCTCAAATTCCAAAACACAAAGCATCCCATAGCTTTGGAGAAGAAATAAAACAAATTTAAACTCAAGTCCATGGGACAGAAATGAGTATACTCCATTCCCATTGAAGTGCCTTGCAATATTATCTAACAAAAATATCCTTACTTTTTTTAGTCATGTCATCATTTACATAATCACCAGCATCATCAATATCATCATCATCAGCATCATCATCAGAACCCTGCAAGTGACGTGAAAGAAAATAAATGAGATGATAATACAAAATTGAAAGATGCAGTTTACTGTCTGGTTCTAATTCTTAAGCCAAATAACCAATTAAACATCAATAGGTCTGGTCTATCTTGCTTCATTGAACAAATAGAAGTTTATAACCATTCAAAAATGCTAATAGTTGAGAAGCTTGCACTGACAAAGACATGGAGCATGAAATGGATACTGCAACAACGGTAAGCATCTAGGAGTGTGTTTGGTTTCATGTTGGAATCATGGCTTTGGCGGGTACAGGTAACCAAACCATGGTTTTAGTGGTTTCCAATGTGAAAACATACATGCACTAGGTCCAAAATTTTAAGTGTTGCCTCTGTATTGAAAGGGGACATGGGTCATGCTTTAACTATAGCTGGCACCGGCAAATAAAATCCCTAGGAACAGAATACCCATGTTTGCTAATGCAAACTCATCATTGAACAGAAAACACAAGAATGAATATTTCAATCCAACTTAAAAATTCACTAAAATAATTCCATCTAGTAATCAACACAACGCTCTGACAGATATGAACCAGAAGAAGAGAACCAAAACCTTCAAATCAAAAACGGGAAGTTCTTCATCCTCGTCTGACTCTCCAACATCGTCATTTATGTCAAGAGGGACAATATCCCTTTGCTTATGAACTGTAAAGGGAAAAAGTACAAGCAAGATTAGGACAGCGCAAATTCATAATTGGAAAAAAAAATACAAATCCAGTACAAATAATGGCAACAGCACATGACAAAATAAATTACTGAAAGAGGAAGAATGAAATTACAGGCATCAATTTCGTCGTGCATGTCATCGGTTAAAAGTGCATCATCATATTGGGAACTTGTCTTGCCCTTCCTTTTCTCATTTTTGTGATGGCTTCTTCCTTTCTTTCCCATACCTAATCACTCAATCAACTCTAATATGTCACCTGTAAATACGCAAAACGGCACAAAGACATTCAAAAATCTCGAACGCTGTATCATAACATTAGGAAGCTACGAAACAGAGCCCAAAAATTCTTCTTACTAATGCTGAAGGTGAAGTCGGTGGAGGGTAAGGACGGTGTCGATGGCGGCCGGAGGCAGCTTCACAGCCAACAGTGGTGCTATTGCGACTTGAGAGTTGAGAGTTCAAGGCCCGTTGGAGGCTGCCCGCTAAATTAGAGAGAAGAACGGAAGCGACGACCGCGAGTTAGGCTTTTGCAGTTTGCAAATAGGGAAAATGACAATTAGAGACGTTACAAAGAGATAAATGACCATTGAAGACTTTGAAACATTAAAGTGGAAAAAAATTTCATGATGTTGATTTGTAATTAAAATACTTTTCACCATTAAAATAACAAGTGACTCATGAATTTAAAAAAAATTAATTATGAATTAAAAAATTACTTATAAATACGTAGAAAGTTAATTGCAAATATGTAAATAGTTTTATAAATATATCTCCATTTGAGAATTTAAGAAAAATTATTTGTAAATTTTTAAAAAGTTACTTGTAAATATATAAAAAATTAATTGTGATTTGTGAATATATAGTTAAAAATATGAAAAGGATTTCTAAGTTATTAATTTACAATTGAGATTATTCACGCTCATTTACAAAAATATTTTATATATTCAAAAGTAACATTCTTAAAATTCACAATTAATTATCCTTGAATCACTAACCATAAATGAATTTATGAGACTATTTATTTATTTACAATTGAAGTTTTATAAATTTACTATTAACCTTTTTAAAATTCATCACAAATGATTATCCTCAAATTCATAAATGATTGCACATCAATTTATAAAAATATTTATCCATTTATTGTTCACAAATAATCTTTCATTGATTTACAAGTAACATTATTTAAATTTTACAACTAATTCTACTTAAATTCATGAATCACACTCTATTGATGAACACTAAAAAGCCAAAATTGTAATATAATTCTTATAAAATAAATAATAAGACAAATGTCTAGTTACTGCACATGCTTTTTTTAGGAGTTATCACTTGTATTTGTCTATTTTCTTAAGAAAGAAATATTTTAGGTGATGTGGTCCAAAAATTGTAATATAATTCTTGTAAAATAAATAATAAATAATAAGACAAATATCAACTTATTGCACATGTTTTTTTTAGTAGTTGCCACTTGTATTTGCCTATTTTCTCAAGAAAGAAATTTTCTAGGGGGTGTGGTTCTATGAAATAGTAAGAAGAAAAGAATTTCTAAAAAAATTGGGTACATTTCTATGAAAATTTGCTTGGACCAAAATTCCCATGGTCATAGCAATCATTCAATCAAAAATGCCCTCTATATATTTGTGCCCATCACTACTTTCAAGGCTAAAACCAATAATAACAGAGAAATATTTAAGTAAACTAAGTGTATCACGTCATTATGATCTATATAATTAAAATGCTCTAAATAATTTAAATAAAATTTTATTGATATTTTTTAATTATTTTTATTTTTATAACATAATACATATTTATTTTTTTTCTTTTCTCTCTTCATTATTATTAATATCAAAATTAATTTATATTAATTATTATTTAAATGTCATGTTTTTATTGGATAATTATAAATGATATACACCTAATCCACTTAAGTATTTCTCACAATAACAACCCATAAAGTATTTTTTTCCTCTTACGTCTCACATTATATATAGAAAAAATGATAATAAAATCTTTCTAAAATATATAAATGATAATTTAATCCATCAAAATGTCACAATTTTCTTGAAGCTCCTAGAAAATTTTTGTCATTAATGAATTTATATAAATTACCAAATTACTCTTGTTAAAAAAAATGATTGACAACTTTTCTTCTTATATTCGTAACAATGCAATAACAAATCACAATTTTGCATATTAAATTCTTTATTTGTTGATGTATTGTTGGGAATATAAAAAGAAAAGTTGCAAATACAAGAAGGAAAATTGTGAATCATTTATTTTTAACAAGAGAAATTTAATAATTTAGATAAATTTATTAATTCATTAATGACAGAAAAGTCTCTAAGGACTTTAAGAAAATTATGATATTTTGAGAGATTAAATTATTATTTATATATTTCAAATAGATTTATTATCATTTTTCCTTATATATGTGTGTGTGGATTTCTTTTTTTAATCAAATATATATGGATTGAATTGGTGTTATAATAAAGAGTTTGGATCGTTGGGCTTGGGTTTCGAGCAAGCTTTTGAGTTTAATAAAACCTTGTGTTTCTGGCCTAAAAATAAAACGCTGTGTTCGTTTAGGATTAAAACATAAATAATTTTTAAATAAATTATTTTAAAAAAATTATTATTTTATAAAAACAACTATTGTTTTATATTTGGTTTAAATAATAAAAATTTATTATTAAATCAATTTTATATTTTATGATATTTTCATTAATTTTTATTCCAAAAAAATAATTTATTATTTAGTTATTTTAAAATTTTTTACTATTATCATGTATGTCCATTTTTTTTTGGTATTCTCTCTCATCTACCTTGAAGCTTCTCAAAATATTTTTTTTAAAAATTTAAACAAACATTATAAAATTTTACAAAATATTTGTTTTGTAAAATAAGAGATTTTTTTTATGAAAAAAGCTTAAACAACTAGGCCCTAAACATTACAGATGGTAAGAGATCCTTCATTCCTTTGTAAAGATGTTAGAACCAAAACTTGATTATGTTAAAGAGAAAGCAATTATTGGATCTTGATATCAAATGTGGTGGAACTTTGGAAGGTATTTTGAAAGTGATCTACTTATTTGCAAGTAATTTGGGTTAGCAGATTGAGAATGGCATGCAAATCTACCTTTATAATTATCCCTTTGTAATTTTGGCATAAATTTGATATAGAATCAAGCTTTTCTTCAAGTCTTGTAGCCCTATCTTGTCCAGTTATGCATAAAGTAGACATATTATATATACACCTTAATGGGATATTGTTTGGATTAGAATTCAAACGTTGCTTGCCAAAAGCCATGACCTGAAATGAGCTCAGGAACTGAAGAGTTAAGCCCAATCAGCAATCTAAATAGAAGGGCCAGCCCAAATCCCATGAGAATAATTAAGTCACATGACGGGCATTTGAATCTCTTAAGTTTTAGAGCTACTACTAAACCGTTGGTATATAACACCATAATCTAAACAAGCCCTAAAATCTCATGGTGATGTAACCAACAGCCTTGAGTATCTTGGAGGCACGAGCTGGCTATTAAATAATGGAACATGTTGATAATAGACCATACCATGAATTTTACAGACTGAGCGTAAGCTGAACCCTGATATTTCGGGAATACATTCTGGATTCCATGGTAACAACCACCATAGCTCTGTTATTATAAATAGAGGATCAAACCATAGAAAAGAGGACACCAACATTGATCCAAAGACTAACATTTTGCACTTATAGCTCTTAGATTTATTAGTTAGCTTTTATGATTAGCTTTATTTTTATTTCTAGCCCTGTAATCCTTTACGCTTTGTAATCATTTAGCATTAATCAAACATTTGTTCTATAAATTCTTGCATATCTTTTACATCTAGATAAATTGTGGTAAAGGAGCTCGGGAACCTTTTGCTATCAATTGAGACTCAGCATTCCTGGCGTGCTTAGTAATTTATTGTTTTCAATGAATAATTTGTGGCACGTCTGGTGGGACTTATGTAACAAGATGCCAAGGACAAGAAAAGATAAATGATTGATGAGACAAGTGCTGGTTCTCACGAGCCAAAAGGAAACTCTACACTCATAGGGTTAGAATCATTGATACCTAAAGCTAAGACGACTGGACATTATGAGCACATAGTACCGGTGATGATGAGTAGCAGCAGCATAAGCCCTGGGGCAAAACTATGAAGCAAATAGGTAAACCCATTGATTACATCTAACGATTTAATAGCAGAATTGTTATGAGAAATCCAAGACTATATGGATAGACAACTGGAGGAGAATCATAAGTTCATTGCTATCTCCCTAGAAATGTCGAAACACAAGGAAAAGGAAAGACGGCAACTCAGGATGCAAGATTTGCATGACGGAATGAGGAACTTAGCTGCATTACTAAGAGGGACACCTTTAGAAGCAGGCTCAAACTGGGGTGTCGTATAGAGGATAAAAGCTAGCGGCTAATGCAAGCGCAGGCCCTTGAGGCCACACAGCTATAAGGGACTATCCTAATCCTTACATTTTTGCTATTACTAACCTCGTGAATAATCCCTTATATTATTTACAAGAGCCTAGCATGAGTATCCCGGGGGCTGGCAATAATTCCAGAACATCAAAATGAGCTGCAGAAGCAATTAGTGAATATGAAAGCTCTGAAGGACACCATTTATGACATATACGGACTAAGACTGAGGTCGATTGGCCATCTTACTTTCTCAAAGCCTTTCCCTGAATACATAGACAAAGATAACCCATACCCTTAGGGCTATAAAATTCTTGATTTCACTCCTATGGGCAGGCATTTTATAGCCCCAAGGGTATGGGTTATCTCCATCTATGTATTTAGGGTAAGGCTTTGAGAAAGTAGGATAGCCAATTGACCTTAATCCTAGTCTGTATATGTCCTAAATAGCATCCCTCAGAGCTTCTATATTCACCAACTAATCGATGGCTTGTTTTGATGTTATAGGACTATTACTAGCCCCCAGGGGTCATTCGTGCTGGGCTCCTTTAAATAATATAAGGGATTATTCATGGGGTTAATATTAGCAAAAATGTGGGGATTAGGTTAGTCCCTTTTAACCATATAGCCCTGAAGGCCTGTGCTTATGTTAGTTGCTGGTTGTTATCCTCCATACAAGCCCTTAATTTGAGCCTACTTCTAAAGGTGTCCCTTTCAGTGATGTAGCTAAGTTCCTCATTCTATCATGTAAAGCCTGCATCATGAGTTGCTGTCTTTCTTTTTCCTTGTGTTCCTACATTTCCAGGGAGATAACAAAGAACTTTTAATTCTCCTTTTGTTGTCCTATCCATGCGCTCTTAGATTCCTCATATCACTTCTGCTACTGGATCATTAGATATAATCAACGTGTTTACCTATTCACTTCCTGGTTTTGCCCCTAGGCTCGAGCTACTGCTACTTATTGTCATCAGCACTACATGCTCACGATATCTAATCGTCTTTGTTTTAGGTATCAATGATTCTAACCCTATGAGTGTAGAGTTTCCTTTTGGCTCGTG